CATATATTAATAAAGCCATTTTATCATTTGTTATATACGGTGCTTCTAATAATCTATCGAGAAAATTATTTAGAATGGACCTATTAGGGATTTATTCTGTACTTTGAAACCATACTGCACATAGATCCGATCCAAATATTCAGCAGAAAATCAGCTTATTTGTACAAAACTGAAAAGAGAAAACGGAAAGCATCCATTGCTTTAAAGTTGCTGAGTTTGACCTTTAAATCTTCTCCATCCTAAACGCCACTCACAGTAGTAAAGGACGAGGCATTAGAGTAACTACTAACAATTCCTATCGTTTGACAGGGCAGTGACCTGCCATTTGCAGCCTTAGGCATATTATGGGCTTCATAATACACAAAATGCTTCCCGCTGGACAGCACTAACTTTATTCATACAGCCAGACTGCTGCTTGTGAGATAATTAGGGCAACAAAATACACTTCCAAGGCAAATGAATGGATAATTGAAAAAATGACCTCCAAGGCATTGGAATTCATTATCTGCAATTATAGCCCATTCCCAGGACCATTGCTACATCCCACAATACTACTTTTGATTTCAGCAAAGGTCTGGAACAACCCTTTACACCTGTGTAGAATCTACTTACCAGAATTTGAGTATTATTCCCATGGCAACAAGGATGATAATGACAGAAATTGTAATGGTGACGTAAAGTTGGGGGTCCACACCTGGAACAGACAAAGGTTGCGAAGTCATACAAAAGAAATGAAGTGGGACGAATTTTATGAGGAGAAGCACTAAATTTTAAGCTCCTTTTAGGAAGGTCAACTGTTTCCTAGATTGATTTCTGTTCATCTGTAAACAGAGTGGCACAAAAACCTAGCAGCCACAGAAGGCAGTTTTTGCAATGACAAAAATAGCCCCTGCCTAATTTTGGCTTGTTACTCAAGCTGTTAGTTACACAGAATCATTAAAACAGTTTCTAAATGAGTAAGGGAAAGCAACTGATGGTTTACCTTCTCCCCGAGGTCCAAAGAGGAAGGGTGGTAGTGTGGCTGGGGTCTGACGCAGGTTGAGCCCTTCATTGTGTAACAGTGAGTGGGAATTGGGTTGTGCTGTTGCCATTCCGTTGGATGAAACAAAGGCATAATCCAGAAGTGGAAAGCCTGGGTTGGCAGAGCTGGCATCCCCTCCCTCATCAACTGAGACTGTGGGACCCCAAACAATGGCCCAGGGGTACTGAGATGAGGAGGGACCATCCTCAAAGCCAGATGGGGTAGCAGGCCGGATCCCTTTGGCTTGACGCCTCAACCGTATGGCATGGCGTTGGCCAGCCCCTTTGGAAACCATAGAGTGCAGCCGCAGTGAGGTAGAGTGAAATCCTGTTTTCTCTGTAGGCAGATTCTTATCCCAGATGCAGAAAGATCTGGATGCTGCGGGGCTCCGGTGGCTGCACAATGGCCGGGCTGCCAGAAGACCACGGGTCCGAAGAGACCAGGCGTTGTGCAACGGAACTGCTGAGGCTAGGAGGAGGAGTAGCCAGAAGTGCAGCAAGTGGATGCAGGAGACCAGGGGGAACCTCCTATGGCTGTTGAGAAGAAAGAGAGATGTCCCTTATTCATTGGACCACTCCTCTTTCCGTGCTGCAAGATGGCTCTGTTTCAGCTTAATGGCTTTGTATAGTTTCTGATTGCTTCATGAGATAACTAGGAGGGGCCGCATGTTAACAAGTAGAAGAGCAAAGAATGTCTCTGTTTGAGTTTATTGCCTCAGACATGAATGTGCCTTAGGCTCACCATGAAGGTGGAGCAGCAGCGTATTTCTCAACCAGAATTAAGTATCATTTTACCTTCTTCAATTAAGGCCATGCCTGTAAGGAGTTGCACGGTGAAGAGGAAAGATTTTGCTACCTTCCAGCTCAGATTCAATTATCCCTTCATCTCTTTTATAGAGATCCTTGTTTCAGTCTTTCTTAGGATGTCATGTCGTTCAGCGGGTACTGCCCTCCTCCTCCCAGGAAGTCTAGTGGTTGCATTCAGTTACCTGTGATGTCATTGAATATGATTTAAGGAGCATGGCTATACACTCTTCCCTTCTTAATGGACCACTACTTTGGTGAAGAAATCCTTACATCCTGGATTATCAATACTAATCCAGAATCTCTTCCTCTAAATGCAATGGGAAACTTATGCTTAATACATTGCAGGGTGAAAGAGGAAATGGAGGAGCCTGACTTTGGGAAACTGCAACCTATTCAAGCCTCTTAATTCTTAATCGAGCCACCCCTTCACCCATTCTTAGTGCCAACAGAATAGCCTTTTTATAGCACCTGAAGTTACTGGTGCTAAGTGTTTAATCCCACCTCTTTCTGATCCTGCAGCTGTTAGATTAACTTTTTCAAAATAGTCCCTTAGATGCCATGGTCAGGCTCTCATTGCTATCCTACATTCCAAAATAATACTATGGACTTACCAGAAACTAGTTTCCATAGCTAGAGGCAACAGTTTTTCCACAGGTGTAAAGGAGTCTCATATTCTTCACTAAAACCAAGAAAAAGGGGGGAAAAGGGATGAATGTTAGATGTTATCTACACCAATACTTCCAAATCCTTAGGCACTATCATGGGCCTTTCCTCCTTTGCAGCAGAAATATGTAAGTAACAGTATAACAAAGTTGGAAGGGACTTTTGGAGGTCTTCTAGTCCAACCCCTTGCTCAAGCATGAGACAGTTCCAGACAAGTGGCTTCTAATCTCTTCTTAAAAACCTCCAGTGATGGAGCATCCACAATTTCTGAAGGCAAGCCATTCCACATTAATTTAATACACTCCTGGAATAAGAATGACCTCATTTCTGAAAGGAGTTTGATTATCAGTTGATGTCTCACTCTCAGGAAGCTTCTCCTTGATTCTAGGTTGGATCTCTGTTTGATAAGCTTTCGTTACTTCTTGTTACTTCTTATCCTGCCCTCAGATGCTTTGGAGAAAAGCTTGGTCCCCTCCTCTCTGTGGCTGGAATATTGGAACCCCGCTCCTTGAATATTGGAACCCTACTAGCGTGTCACCCCTAGTCCTTCTCTTTGTATGACCAGACATAGACAGATATTATTCATAATATTCATTAGACTAGACATGACCTGGCAACCTCTTTCTTTCCTGAATGTCTTCATGATGTTGATTTTTTTTAAATCCAAGACTAGAAAAGGGGCTACGTTAAGCCATGCATGTTAGTACCAATGTTAAAGCAGACTTTTCCCTTTTACACCAAATCAGTTTCCCAGTGAATATAATTCAGTAAAACTCCTACTCCTAGTACAGTCAGGTGATCCTTCCACTCATTGACCACTATAGCCTGGGCATGCTTCTCCCTCCCACTTTAATTCCACAGAGGTAGTAATTTCAAGCCAGGTCCTGCCCATATATCAGCAAGCCTCCAAGGTGATCCCTGCTTTAGAGACTTAAGAGCCGAACAGTAGTAATGGTAGGAGGGATACGCATGGTGGACTTGGGGAGGAGAAGAGAGAGAAATAAATGGCCTTAACTCTGCTGGTTCATAGCATAACCTTCCTGGTGCCTGTCAGATGTTGCTTTTGAACATTGATTTAATACACTCCTGGAATAAGAATGACCTCATTTCTGAAAGGAGTTTGATTAGCAGTTGATGTTAATGTCCTACTGGAAAAATACTAACCTGTGTTTTCTAAAAGAATTTTAATCTCATTTTCAGGGAAAGTGCTAAGCTCATGAGATCAGCTGATAGTTGGGTTCCTTTTGGACAACACACCCCTGCAAAACACTGGAGCAGCGAAACTAGAGGGAGGACTGAGAGATGGCGAATCATGCCATCTTAGCCATCTGTCAAAATTTGTCTCCTGCCCAACTCCCAGCCCATTCCCTTGAGGTAAATGTTATGCAGGAAAAAAGACACATAATTGTGGAGGAATCCTTCAATATTTCCCTGTAGTGTCCCCTGTATGGCATAAATAAAACAATCCCCATTTCTCACATCATGGCTGGGGCAAGGGGAGTTTGCCAGGTGAGGCAGCAAGTATTAAGTCAGTTTAGCTTTCTGCAAGGTCAGGGCTTGATAGAATCCAAATTTGGTAGTGGGAAGGAAGGAACCTTATGATTATCGAGTGATTCTAAACTTCTTTCATTTTCCACTTATTTTTTCAACTCTTACGAAGATACCAGGTGTTATAAATGTACATAGTCTGTAGCTTGATACATACAGCAAACTTGACCTAAGTTTCCCATTTTGTGCATATATTTGTATTCATAAAAATGGGGGGGGGGGTGTTAGTATGTGAAGACCTCACTATCATTAACATTACCATCGCTGCTTCTGAGATTGAAAAAAGAAATTTATTGTCATGGATTTTTTTAGCACTTAAAAACTTAACAGTTCCGCCATGTATTTATGGTATGAAATGTGTAATCCACTTCATGTAAAGAACCATTTTAATTGTGCATGCAGACAAGAAAAGAAATAAGAATAAATTTAGAATGATAAACACAGGAGATTGTGAAAGGGAATGAATCAGCAAGAAAAGATTCCAAGCCTGTTTAAGAATTTAAAGAAAAAAAAATGTGCCCATAAAATATTTAGTATTTACTTTCTGGTTGGCTAAAATGCTTTTCAACATTTCTTTTTGCCTTTTTCATAGTTGTCTCTTCTTCCTCCACTTTCCTGCTACACATAAAATAGAAGTGGATTATATGTTCTGACTTGTATTTTGAACTATTGTTCAGGTAGACTAACATGATATTAGACAATGTTCTAAAATTTTAGAATTCCATAACTGTTCGGTCTTTTACAGCCTGTGCCTTCTGAATAATCTCAGATAGAGTTTATCTGTCCTTAGAAAATACAGGATATTACAAGCTTGTAGTTCTTTTCAAAGACTAAGATACTTTTCCAAAGCCTCTTCTCTCTAGGCTGCCTTACCCCACCTGTTGCTGTTCTGTATTCCTAATTTTAGCTCCTACAATCTCTACTCAGCATAACTGAGAATTATGCTACCTGGGGAGTATGGGAGTTGAAGTCTAACAGATTTGGAGGGCAACAGATTGAAGAAGTTGGCTTTATGCACTGGACCATTGTATGGCTGGTACATAATTTACACACTGAACTTAGATGGAAAATCACTATAGGTAGTCCTCAACCTATGACCATATTTGAGCCCAACATTTCTGTTGCTGAGTGAGACAGTTA